TTCTTCTTCTTCTTCTTCTTCTTCTTCTTCTTCTTCTTCTTCTTTTTGTATTTTAGTACAGGGTCTACAGGGTCTACAGGGTTTCACTACGTAGATCAGACTTATAGTGATCTGCCTGTATTCAGCCTCCCAAGGGCTGGAATTATAGGTGTGCACCTAGTCTCAATCACCATCTCAGTGTGCTACCAGGGCGGAGCTGGCACAGCACACTGGGGATGAAACCCTGGTCCCTGCTTCTGCCTAAGCAAGTGTTTTAATCAACTACTGCTTAGATAGGATGCCAAGAACCTAGTAAGTAATAGCAGCAGTCAACACATGAACTAATCAAATTGAGAAGCCTCTGTACACCAGAGGAAACAGCAGAAGGAAAAGACAATGTACAAAATAGAAGTAAATCTCTTCTTGTGGCTTTCCTAATGGAGAAGTAACACCTAGAGTCCTGTACATAAAGAATTCAAAAAATCTAGCCCCAAGAAACTCCTTAAAACAAATAGCTCAGTCAATAAATGAATAGATGAATGGCCAGTTCTTAAAAGAAGTAATAATAGCCAAAAAGTATAGGAGAAAAATCTTCAGCAGCTTTAGCCATTAAGAAAATGCAAGTCAAAACTATTTGAGATTCCATCTCACTGTAGTCAGAAAAGCTGTCACCAATAATAGAAAAAATGCCAGAGATTTAGCTCAGTGGCACAGCACCTGCCTGGCAAGTGCTAGGTTCTGAGTTCAGTTTCTGGGGCAAACCCCACAAAATGTCCTCCCCCACAAAATCAAACAAACAACAACAAAAAAAGAAATAGAAAAAATGAATACTAGGGAGGTTGCAGAAAAATATTCCCCACATATGGAATGTAAACCAATACAACTATTAGAGAAGCTAGTAGAGAGAATCCATACAGCATTAAAAATAGTTATATCATTTGTTCCAACTGCAGTCAGTATATTGCCAAAAGAATTAAACATAGTGTACTATGAGAATACGTGACCCATGTTTGAAAATGTCACAATTAATAATAGCTAAGTTGTGGAAGCAGGTGAGATACTTATCAACAGAAAAATGGATAAAAAAAATGGACTATTAGCAATAAAGGAGAAAAAAAATCAGGTTATTTGCAGAAGATTGGATGGGACTATAGAGAACAGCAAGCCCAATCATGTTACAGTCTCAGAAAGTTAAGTAGTGTGTGTTTTCTCTTATATAAGCAATGTATAAATAAAAAACCGGATGAGGAAGGGAAACAGGGGATGCAAAAGAATAAGGTGGTAACAGCGATCAAAATAAACAGAATGTTATATGTAGGCACTCAGTAGACCAAATAAATCTCATTATTTTGTAGTACTAATATCTACCAATCACAAAAAAAGGTTGGTGGCCATATGGAGGGTGGAGTTCTGATAGCCATTTTCAAGTGACTCTGGAACATAAAGATGCAGTTTTCTTTGCATATTCAAGGTCACCTGGGATTATGTAGAACAATTTACACTTCACTTATCAAGGCTTGACTTCGTGTTTTCTCAAGATTGCTTTCTGGGTTTGGTTGAAAAACAGACTAAATATGTAAAATCACAAGCATTTTCATTTGAAACAACTTAGAATAAAGCATATATATTACATAATTGAAAGAAAAAGAACCCTGGAGTTGAAGTTGATCCTCACATTAGTATATTTCAGTGGTGTTCACTTTTAAAACAGACAAGCTAAAGCAATTCAATCTTTCCAACTCTAGACTACTCATGCAATCTGGATTATGGATTTTTATGCTCAAGCACCTTCAATAAAGTGGACATGTTCATCGGAGGCATTACCTAACTCTCCACCTGGACTGGAACATTTGGCTGGGGTATAGTAATGTGTTTATAACTGATTAGATCCATGATATAAATTCAGATTTTTTATACTATAATTTATGATATGAAATTTTGGCTACAGATGAAAATACTATAGCATTAACATTTAGATTTTAAAATTTAATTCCAGTTTCAATTTTCATTTTTATTAAGATAGCTTAATTTTAAATGTTACAATATTTCCACTTACAAATTTATTTCCTAGGAAACTAATTGAAGAATAAATACTTATTGAAGAGACTAAAACCTGTGATGAGGAAAAGGACAAAAGTAAAGTGAAAAAATATATGTATATATGCAGGATAGCTTGGATAACTGTACTGCTGATTTCTGCTGGTCTATTGAAAGGACCAGTTAATAGTTAATTTTTTTTTTTACTTTTTAAAAATTTCTTATAATTTTTTTTACCAATTTTGCATGTTTATATCTGCTAATCTAAACATCTAATTTGAAGATAACATTATGTAATACAACCATTTTTGAATTCCTATTGTTTTCCTTAGTGAAATTCTGTATCATTTCTAATTTTTTAACCATTTTTTATTCTTTAAAAAGTTAAAAAAATTTAAAAGAATAAGTGCTTAGTTTTTTTTTTTTTTAAAAAAAGAGGAGATTGGATTTTGAGAATACAACTTAAAATTAACTCCAGAAATCCTCATTTCACCTAATATTTGGGTATTAACAGACTAAATCATAAATGTGAACTATGGATACTAATATTAGAAAACTTATTCTGTACCAGATTGCATGAGATTAAATATCATTTGTTTATGTCATTAATTCTGACATAGTTTCCTGTTATACTCTCTCTGAGTAACTTGTTTTGTCAATTCAGATGTCTATGATGATCGATCACATCTTATTTCATAATACTTTATAAAAAATTGTTTAGATTTTCAATGCTTAGCTATGAGCATCTTACAAATAAATATAAATGTGATAAATTCTTTTAGAATTTGATAAACACAGCAGTAATTTTTGTTTCAAATTGTATATAGAAAATTCTCTCAGAATTTAAATAACATTTGTAAAAAATATAACCGAAATATTGTTCAATAACTTTCTCTTAACGAAAATATTAAATACATTAACAATAGGTATAAGACAAAACGTTCTACAAAACAACAATTTTCTATTTGCCTGTTTTTTGGGTTTTTTTTTTGTTTTGTTTTTTATATTTTAGGGAAGGGTGTACAGGGTGTTCAGGGTCTCACTACTAGATCAGACTTGTAGTGATTAGCCTGTTTGCAGCCTCCCAAGAGCTGGGATTACAGACGCGCCCCACCACACTGTTTCATTTGTCTGCTCAGCGTGCCCCGAGGATGGGCCCAGCACCGCAGGCCAGGGGATTGAGACCCCAGCCCCTTTTCCTGCTTGCAGGCTCTTTAATCCACTGAGCTATTTGGCTGGTTCTGTGTTTGTATATTGAAACAAATGTTAATATTTAATTTTCCCTCTAAGGTGGTACTTATCGTGGAGGCTTTGTTCCAGACACCCCCTCAACAAGTGAAAATCAGCAAAGGAGTGACTATATATATATATATATATATATATATATATATATAGCTTGATGAACACTTCCCAGTTCTTAGTCATTTTCTAAACTCATAAATCCATATAATTTTAGCAACGTACATATACTGTATGGTACTGCAAAATTCCACAATCTAGTGAAAAATCCGTGATAAATAACTTAGAGTAATATTTTCTGAAAACCCATGAAGCAGTGAGTCTGTGAAAGTCGAATTGCAAAATAGCGAGGCACTACTGTAGCATAAAAGATATATGACAGAAAAATTAGATACTGATAATCAATTACTTTAAAAATTCTAAAAGCATTAATTTATTTCTGATAGTGTGCTTTAACTTTAATTTGATTACTTCATACTGCCTATCTTTTATTTTCTACTCTACTAGGTAAATCAATTAATTGTGTGTCAACGATTTGATTTGGAAGGTATGTACCCAAATACACTGCTGTCTGCATATTTCCAGACGTGCTGTGTTTTGTTTTAGTTAGGACAACACCATGAGTTAGAGTGCTGCTTTTTTTTTTGGCCTTGCCTAGGAAGCGCTTATTCCAGTGAGCCATGTCCCCGGCCCCTAAAGGGCTGCTTATATTTGAGAAAAACAAGTGACACGACAACATAAGGAAAGCATGCAGAAGATCCTCAGAAAGTGAGAAGATGAAAGCAGCAGTAGTTTCTCGTGGACAAGGAAGAGGACGTTGGCGCCAGGATTCTTCCTCCAGACACTGATAGCACCTTGAGGCTTATTGAACATAGGTCTGAGCGCTGAAATGGCTTACCCGTCCTGACTGTTTCCAGTACAGGCATTTTAAAAAAGCAATCATTTCAGCAATTCTGCTAGTAGAAGTGGAATGAGCTTTCCAGGTAGTTTTCAAGTCTGAGAAATTAAACTGACCTTTAGGACTCAGTTAGCTTGATGTCACCCTATAGAAGTAGATGACACTAGTCTGTGAAAATAAAATTTCTAGACTAAAATGGGCATTTAAAAAGAACCATCCAATCTTGGTTTGCTATATCCTTCCTTCCTTCCTTCCTTCCTTCCTTCCTTCCTTCCTTCCTTCCTTCCTTCCTTTCCTTCCTTTTTTTCTTTCTTTCTCAGTACTGGAGATTAAGCTCAGGACCTTGCTCTTACAAGGTGGGTGCTTGTGCCTCTGAGCTATATCCCCAGCCCTAAATTTGCTATTAAAAATATCTCTTTGCATTTCTTTTCTTACTGCATCACATGAAAATGCTTTATTTTTATGAAAGATCATTTCTTCCAGAAATTCCCTGTATGCCCACAATAAACAAAGCACGTGCTAATCATTTTGAGAAGATTTCGATCTGTCCTCCCCTGATTGACTTGTTCTGATTTGTGAAGAATGAACACAGTTACGTAAAGCATATAATTGAGTCATGATAGTTAGCAGAGGGGCCAAAACTAGTCGTGGAAATTCAAAAGAGGAACAGTAGTAGTTGTTCATAATTTAATAAACCAGAAGAATTGTTGGAGAAATCCAAATGGTCGTGTATGGGTGACTAGCTCTCCAAGGTGATGCTATCCAAAGTGGGCCCTGGAGCAGCGACACTCACGGCACCTGGAGCCATGGCTGAGCTGCAGGTCCTCGAGCTGTGCCACAGATCTATCCAGTCAGAAAGTCCAGAGGTTGGTTTTCAATACACCAGCCTATTATCAATCTACAGGTGATTCTGATGTGAAATAAACTTAGAAAACTGCTACACTAAATGATATTTTCATGTACTTTAACACTGAAGCTACCTAAAAAAAATAACTCTACAAAACTGTCATTGGTATCTCCAAAATATATTGTTCGATATAAAAATATTGGGGTCCTGCCCCTTAGCTCAGTTCTTTCAGTGGCTGCTTCAACAAAGCAGTCAGGCTCAGGTTGCTGTGGTTCGATCCCCACAACTCAAGCCAGCGAAACCTGCCCTGAAGGCATTCCGAGCAAAAAAAGAAAAAAAAATTAACAAGCACAGCATATAGTAGTATGTGTGCATTTTAAATATAAACACATAGATGTTACTTAAGCTTGCATTAGCTCTGTAAGGATTATTGGGAAGTTAGGGAAGACAGAAAGTGGAATAATGCTACAAGGAAAAATCAATTTTAATTTTACATTCCATTTTGCATTTTTAAAATTTCTGTCACATGTTTATAATTGCTATTTATAAAAAGAGCTTCATTTTGAAAGGGAAATAGGAAACACAGTCATAAACTTTGAATAATTATTTAGCTTTCAATATAAAATTAAAATGTATGACACATGGAAATACCAGTATTTTCATATGTCTATGAAATAAGGAAACTATATGCTAGTTTTAAAGTTTAGTATTAACAATATTAAGTATGTATTAACATCACATATGCATTAAACATAAATACATAAAATAATATTTGAAAAATTATGAGAAGTGAGAGAAAAAATAACATGCACAACTGACACATTTCCTCTAAAGACTTGTAACACAATATTTGGAGGCCAGTGGTGTAGCTCAGTGGCACAGTGCCTGCCTAGCATGTGGGGACCTGGCTTTGATTCTCATTGCCACAAAAATAATTATTACTTCAGTGAGAGTTTGTCAAATGTCACCTGTAGTCAGTGCCCATGAAATGTTTTATAGCTATTCACTTGTTATTTTTTAATCATAAAATGCTAGCATTTTAAATAATTATATAGTAATCCTAAAGAGCAAGTATTGGAATAGTGTGTTATTATTTAATACTTATTTGGTTTGTGTTTTAATTGTTCATATTCTAGATTCAACAATAGTGAATGTGTGTGTGTGTGTGTGTGTGTGTGTGTGTGTGTGTGTGTGTGTTGCTGGCTCAGCCAGCCCTATGGGCAGGGCTGGTGAGGCCTGTGTTACCAGGAATTGAACCGTGGTTCCTGAGCTTGCCTAAGCTTGCCTAAGGAAGTGCTTTAGATTGCTGAACTATCTCACTTGCCCAATAGTGAATATTTGGGTGCCTAATTTTTTTTAATTTATGAAATGTTTTGTTTATAAAATTACAAAAGTAAAATCATTAGGACAAAAGCTAACATTTTCCTTTCTTGCAAAAGGGTGAATTGCATTATTTTACTACATATATAATATTTTGGATTCCTTCCCCTCCCCTTCAGTTTGGCACCAGCAAAATGTTTTTCTTAATTTATACTATTCAAATTGAATCCTGATAAGGTCTGTTTGATATCCTGTAGGAAGAAAAAGATGAAGGGGAGAAAAATTTAGCATAATTCAAAACATAACAGTAATGGGCTAACTTCTATGGAATTAAAATTATATATAAGAGCCATGTAAAGAACTTTAGTAGCAAAAGGAACCACTAGAGTACCTAGTCTGTCTTTTTAAAAAAAATTTTCTGTATGTGGAAACTAAGATACCAATTAAGATAAGCTACTGAAAGCTAAATTCTTTATTACTCTTTATAAGTTCCATATTTGAAAGTAATTTGATATGTAATGTATACAGTTCTTATGTCAATACAGTTTTACTCATAAATTATCATATTGTCTCACTCTGTAGTCCTTGATCATTTGAACACTAGTAAGACCTATGAGGTCATGAATAATCAAGGACAGAGAATTTATTTTGCAGAAGAGAGAACTAATCGGTACCTCCAATACTTTTGTGGAATTTCAAGGCCTTTCACCATGAAAATTTATGACAATGTAGGTCAAGATGTTATTACTATACGTAAAGCTCTGAGATGCAGTTGTTGCTGCAAGAGCTGCTGCCTACAAAAGGTCAGTAACAGGGTTTGTATCATGTGATTTCAGATGCCTTTGAGTCCATTCAAAAAACCTCAACACTGAGCAGGATGACAGAGCTTAAACACTGGATTTAGTCACAAAGAAACCCCTAGAGTAAAAAGTATAAGGAAGAATTAAGTTGTTGAATGAGGGATCTACAAAGTCAAAATTATGAACAATGCTATGAGTTTGTTTCTTTGTTTTACAGGCAATGACTATAAAATCTGTAGACTTTAGACTGTGCTTTACTTTTTAATTCTAAAATATCTAAGAATTCATTCAGGGCTTCATTTTGTCCTGTGTTCACTTGTGACCCAGATAAGGCCAGTTTTGAGTGTCTTCCTTTAAATTTTAGCATCTCTATCCTGCTGAAATATTTTGTATTCTTTCATGGGATGGTCAGATAAGTGCAATCATAAGACAGCACAAGGGAAGTTCGGGGAAATAAAGACTGTATGATACAGCTCTTTGAGAAAACCACCACATGCCATGAGGGGCCATGAGGAAAGCCCAAAAGGCTCAAGCAGGAAGAGCATAGAGAGAAACAGCTGGGCTCATCAGCAAGCGATTTTCATTCTTTACTGTATCTTTAATCTATCAGTAGTTACGTATATCTATATATGTACACATACATATGTGTAATGCCTGTCTGTCTGTCTGTAGGTCTGTCTTTCTGCCTGCCTGCCTATCTATCTATCATCTACCTATCTATTGCAGAATGGAAGAGTGAGATTCTAGAATTAGATAAACACATATATTAGCCATTCATTTTCAGAAAAGGTACCAAGAAGGTGCAATAGAAGAGGAATCTTTTGCTTAGTGATTGTAGTATACATCTCCTGGTATTTAGGTCTTCTTTAATAATTCCTGGTCATGGTTTGTCCTATTTAGCACTTAGGTTTTCAAAATATTCTATGCAGGTTATATTTAAGTATATTTAAGTATTTAATATTTATAGATATAGTATATTATAATATATTATTACTAATATAATTTAAATTTTAAAATTTTACATATATACATTGGTTTATATGTGTTATTTACCATTTGAGCTTTCCAAAAATCACTTATAAATTCAAGTACCTTTTTGTAGATTTTAAACACGATTTTAACTCTTATATGAAAATGTAGAGTTTACTATTTCTTTTATTTGTATGTTTTATGTTTGCATAAGCAAATACATGAATGTACATATTTCTTCTGTATTGACCTCTTGTGCTGGTTAGGAACTCTAATATAATGATTAATGAAAGTAGGAGAGAAGAGAGCCTTGACTTTTGTTCTGACTGTAAAGGAGAGAAATCAGTCTTTATCATTATCTGCCTAGTTTTGGAAAATATTTTTTATCAAGTCTATTGCTTACTTTCTAAATTTTAAGGTGTATTTACAGCTTTTTATTATTTACTTCTCATTTAATTCCATTCCATAGAGGACAACCATCATATTATTTCAATATTTTTAAACTTCACCAGTGTTAAAACATTTTTTTATATTTTATTAGTACATACTTGCAGTGTATGTCGATTGCTTTCCTCTCAAAAGTTGGCAAGTGCACATAAGGCTTGATTCTTAATTATTTTTCAAACACCTCCACATTCTCGCCACTCCATATAGCTCTTGGACTCTTTCCCTTTTGCAAAACAATATATTGCTCTCTTTCATGAAGTCTGTCTTTCACTTTGCTCTTTATATTTGTTGGTTCTCACATAAGGGAAACCTGCATCCATTCTTCTACAAATGATTCAGGTTTATCCTTCTTTACAACAGAGGACTACTCTCCCATCCAAGTACTAACAAGGCCTGACCCTGTTTAGCTTCCGAGATCAGACAAGATCAGGCGCGTTCAGGGTGGTATGGCCATAGGCAACAGAAGACTACTCAATTGTGTATAAATGTCACACATTTTTATCCATTCATCTGTTGATGGATACATATGTTGTTGGTGGGAATGTGCCCTAATGCAACTGTTATGGAAATCAATATGAAGATTCCTCCACAAACCTAAAAAGAGTAATTTCATTTTACTCAGCTATTCCTCCTCTAAGATTTTTCCTGAAGAAGTTAAAGACATCATTTTAGAGAGACACACCCATATCCATGTTGATAGCAGCACATTGTTCAACTTACCTGGAATTAATTATTGAGCGAGCATGGGCTTTACTTTGTGGAGTATTTATACTGATCTGAAGAACTATATGGATCTGTAAATGTGCTTCTGTTATTATACAAACTATTTTATAATGTCAATTAGGTCAATTAGATCAATTGGCCTAATTAGATCAATTAGATTTCCTATCTCCAACATGATTTTCTGCAAATCTCCAAAATCAGTTGCTTTAATTAAAATATATATAACGTACTTTCTTCGGTTCAAATATTAGAAATGGTTTAGCTGGGTGTTTTTTTTTTTTTTTTTTTTTTTTTTTTGCAGTACCAGGGATTGAACTCAGGACCTTGTGCTTGCCGGGCAAATGCTTATTCTGCTGGGCGATCTCCCTGGCATAGCTGGGTGGTTTTGGTTTATAGCTTCTCACAATAGAGTCAAGGAGTCTGCTGGAGCTACTGTTAGCATAATGTTGGCTGAAGACAGAAAGTTTTTAACAAGATAAATTACTAAATTACTAATGGAAGATAAACTCATTTTTTCCCTTGATTATTGATGTCAGGCAGAAAGCCCTAATTTATTTATTTATTTATTTATTTATTTATTTATTTATTTCTTCTTTTTTTTTTGCAGTACCATATATCAAACTCAAGACCTTATGCTTGCCAGGCAAACACTTATTCCACTGAGCTATCTCCCCGGCCCACCAAGCTCTGATTTCTTATCATGATTTGATTTTCAGTAGCTTGACCATAATGTGGTTAGATGTAATTTCCTTTATATTCATTTTGTTCATTTAGGTGACTTTCTAGTAATGAGCATGTAGGAATTTATATCAAAGTTTGAGACTTTGAGCCATAGTTTCTTTAAGTGTGTTATTCTACCCACTCTCTTCTCTCTTTCCATGCTTTTAGCTACAGGTGTTAAGTGATTTGATATTTTCTGATGTTTTGTTATCAGTTATCTTAAAATCTTTTAATATTCAGTTATTAAATACATATTGATGTCTTTTGCACCCATCCATTAAATATTTTTATTTCAGATATTATATTTTTTACTTCTAGAATCTACTACTTTAGATTTGATTCTGATTGTAATTCCTATCTCTTCTTTTGTAAGAAGCGTATTTGAAACGTATTCACTTACCATAGCTTTGCCAGATGCTTTAAACTTCTACCAATGCTACCATTAGGGTTGGTATTGATTGCATTTTCTCTTAAGTATTGTTCCATTTTATTCTTTCTTTTTTTTTTTTTTTTTTTTTTTTCGGAACCGGGGATTGAACTCAGGCCCTTGCACTTGCCAGGGGAGCACTTATTCCACTGAGCCATCTCCTTGCCTCCTCACTTCTTTCATTTTATTCTTTATACAAAGTAAATTTTATATTTTCCTGGATATTAAAAATGATACATTGCTAAAACTAAGCATTTTTTTTTTCTCTCCGAAGAATATTGACTTCTTTTGGTTTGCTTCTCTGGACAGTACATTAGCTAAACTCACATTCGAAATTCTTTCTCTCCAGCAGGGACACAGCTGAAGTCTCTGAGCAGTAGCTGTGGCCTGAACTGAGCTCCTTCGCCTCTGCCCTAAATATAGATAGTTCAGGAACTGAGCAGAAGCCTGGGGGAAGAGTGGGCATGCACATGGGGGCTGCCCATCTTTACCTCTTCCCATCCTGGGACTATCTCCTGTACTTCCCACTGTCTTTGGTTTCCTCAATCCTCTGGTTTCTCAATCAGTAGTAGTAGGTGTTTCCATTCAAAGTCGCACCGCCCTGTTGCAGCCAGCACTGACTAGAGCCAGTCCTCACATGCATAGCAAGTCATAAAACAGGAAAGTGACTCCGGTACAAAGGAAGGGACAAATAGGTCCCCCAGGATTCCTTATAAAATTATTGGAAGAGAAAAAATCTCAAGAGCAGAAGAATGAAAGTTTTCCTTATATTTTATGAATAAAACAGTGAAATGTTCATTGAAAAATAAAATAAAATTGTAATAAAAATAAAAAATAAGTGATTTATTTGTTTTCATTACATTCTGAAGGGCTCCTCCACCTTTTTTTTTTTTTTTTAACATTCTCATAGTTTCTAAATCATGTCTCTGCGCTAGGTATTGTAGGTTGGCTTTCTTCACTGATGCCCTTCCAACTGGTAGATGAGCAGTTTTTCTTTTATTTAGAGAAGTTTTAGTGGTTTATGCATTTGAGTGTTTCTCCAATTTCATTATGATTTTCCCCTCTTGAGACTCTTACATATTTTGGGCTCTTTTCATCTCATCTCCAGCATCATTTTGTTATGCTTGGTGGTGTCTGCACTGTATTCCTCCTATATTTTTGTTTCCCAACTTATTTTTCTTCTCTTTTTTCTAACATTTTCAGAACTCTGACATTTTCTTCATTTTTATATTCTCTTCATTTTCTGTCCTTGCTCCTTTGTTATTACATTTCTGATTTTATTTTACTTTTTAATCTTTATTTTTTTGGTTCAGGGTCTCACTATGTGGCTCAGACTTGTACTGATACTCCTGCCTCAGCCTCTCCAGTGCTGGGGATTACAGGTGTGCACCGCCACTCCCAGTAGGGTGGCGACTCCAGGGGCTGGCAGGACATGCGGGATGGGGAATCAAACCCCGGTCCTCACATTCACCAGGCAGGCGCTCAGACTCCTGAGCTATCCCCAGCCATGTCACTGTGTTTCTGAATTTTTCTAATTCTTATCTATACTCCTTTATTCATATCTCCTATCATTTTTAAAAGTTTTTTTTTTCCCCCCAAAATGAATGCTAGGTAAAGTTTTAGTTTTTGAGAGCAGCTTCCAGTGTAAATTCATCATCCGCAGGAACGTAGTCTGGACACTATTCTCCTTTCATTATACTATCACCGGATGCTGACG